TACTGCGACTGCTACTGCTACTGCTACTGCTACTGCTACTGCTACTGCTACTGCTACTGCTACTGCTGCTGCTGCTGCTACCACTACTGCTACTACTACTACTACTACTACTACTACCACTACTCAACTACTACTATTACTGCTGCTGCTGCTGCTACTACTACTACTACTACTCCTCCTCCTACACGGCTGCTGCTGCTGCTGCTACTACTACTCCTCCTCCTACACGGCTGCTACTGCAGCTAGTACGACTACTCCTACTACTCGTAATACCTACTACTACTACTACTACTACTACTACTACTACTAGTACTAGTACTAGTACTAGTACTTGTACTACTGCTGCTACTACTACTACTACTACTACTACTGCAGCTACTACTACTACTACTACTACTACTACTACTACTGCTACTACTTCTACTGCTACTACTATTATTACTAGCGGCTCGGCTTCAGATCAATGTGTGCCAAAGCTGCTGTCCCTGCCTTTTTTGGCCGTATGCCTCCTAGACTGGTTTGGACCGCTGCGTGCCATGCACGAATGCGTTTCGGGCAATAGACAGATGTTATGGGGCTCAGCGTGCGTCACGCACGGGTCGAGCCAGACTCAGCAGTGTTTCGTGCTCGCTGATTCAAGAATCTTTAGGTTCTTTGTCTGCGCCGATGCGAGAAGATCTGCGTCCGAAGAAGTCCCGCTGAGACTCAGGCTGGACCAGAGGGTGACATCGACAATTTGCATGCTCACGCACGCTTGTCAGGTACCGCGACCTGGTGCTTGCCACCTACAGTGCATCGGCAATGCATGAGAAAATCGATGCTGCAAAGACCAGCGGACTGCTCCAGGCCACTGGGCTTGTTGGATTTATTGCCTGGCATCTTGAAGTCAATCTGATTTTTGCAGGGCAGCGAGGGAGCAGGCTTGTGGACGTGACACAAACCGTTAGTGCAAAGGTTTCGCGGTGTGTGCAAAGCAATTTCCAGACGTCCCTGCCTTTGGCTTTGTGCCAGTTGATGTGATTTGGTAACACCGCAGGGTCGTGGCCGGCATGCCGGACACCTGAACCTCATCGCACATCCATATTCAATACATGCTGTGCAGGCGACCGTCGACGTTGAGGCCGTGGAGGAGCTTGGATTGAGTTTGTGAGAGAAAGAAAGCTGTAAACAGCTTTCAGAATGTATGGCGCCATGGCGTCCGCGCGACCTACCGGCTTGAGAAGCCTATGAAAAGCCTGAGATGAACCAGAAGTCAACACACCTCATGACGGGATAGCTCAAGTCCTGTGCCGCTGGCAGGATAGATTCAGCTTATAGATGTCACCAGGGTTTCAGCATGAGCAGTGGTGCTTCCCCGTGGCGCCATGGCCGGGACGGTGGCTGCGGAGTGGCGTTCTCAGGAGGCCGACTTGCTGTGCACATGCCGCTACTGTTCCGCTGCTTGGAGTTGCCGGCCTGCGGGCCCCGAGTGCCAGTACGCTTGCGGTCCTCGGCCTGGTCTTTTGCCCGCTGTCACCCAGGAACACGCCTTTTTTGTCCGAGGCTGGACCGCCTTTCCTGGTCGCTCCACTTGCTGCAGGCTGCGGTGTGCCGCAGGTGTCCGGTCATCCACGCGATGAACCAAAAATAGGTCGTGCCGGGGTGCAGCCGGCCCGCATGCCAAGGACCGAGACCGGCGCAAGCTGCAGTTGAGATCTGTCATGGAGTAGGGTAGAAGAAGTTCCGTTATGGTGGTGGTGGTGGTGGTAGCAGCAGTAGTAACGGGTAGTAGTAGTAGTAGTAGTAGTAGTAGTAGTAGTAGTAGTGGTAGTAGTAGTAGTGGTGGTGGTGGTGGTGGTAGTGGTGGTGGTAGTGGTAGTGGTAGTGGTAGTGGTAGTGGTAGCAGTAGCAGCAGCAGTAGTGGTTGTGGTCGTGGTCGCGGTCTTGCTAGTGTTAGTGCTAGTGGTAGTGGTAGTGGTAATGGT